CAACCATTACGCCACACGATCCAGTCCCACAAAACTCAGGATTAACCAAACACGGATTCAACATCAAAGTAAGGCATTGACATACATGTATATGAACCTAAGTCAATTTCATTTCTCATGCTAAAAAAAGAGTTGAAGCTTGTTTAATACATGCTAATGGCCATAAAGCAGTTTGTAGGACCAGTTACTCCCCAGCACAGGAATTTGGTCCACTATTGCGGTCTGTTTAAGACAAAAGGCAAACATTCATATCACGACTGCAGCAGGAAGTTTGATCCTAAATACCAACAACATGTGCTGCTCAGACACAACCATTTCATCTAGTATGCACCTCACATTCAAGCTAATACTTACTGACAGCATCTACTTTAGAGCATCTCAAATTACTACATCTAAACCATGACAACTTGCTTATTTTTAATTGAGTTGGTATTACAGATGGATTCAGTAAATCTAACTATAGCTGAGCCAGGAGGAACACCCCTGGTAACATTTGGTAGCTCCTAAGTCTCTGATCCAGCAGGAGAAATTGTCAGGTTTTCCCAGGGAGTCAGACTCAGAGACTCAGACCTACCCACAGGACTGGCTGGACCAGGAAGTGTGAAAACAGAATGGGGAAACCGCTCCTTCAACAAAGTCATCCTGTTCCAAACAGTCTTATCTGGTAAGAACAGTTTTATCACATTTTAAAATTTGTATAAAATCTATGTCTCAAAATTTAACTGTCTTGAAATAAAAGTAACATGCTTTAGGGCTCGAATTACCCTTTAAATGCACACCTTTGTGCAATAAACATGAAATTGGACGGGTGCACATAAGTTTTGAGCGCACTTGCACCAGTGCAAGTAGCTTTATAGACTATTGGAACCACTTAGTCTAGACAGATTCAATATCGAAATGTTTCCCAACTGTTGGCCCTAGGAAGCACATACTGAAAAGTGAACCTTCTGTTGTTCAAGCCAAAAAAGTATTTTTTTCTCATGTGCAATATTATTATTAATTCTTGCCGTGATGTGCTTACAATAGAGAAAGTACATAGAGGAGAGTGCTATTATCCTACAAGTGGCACCAACACAATAATAATTTTGTCTGGTTACAAGTGCATGACATTGTGGTCCAAGCTTATCCTCGTACTGGCACTCTCTTTTCATTGTACACCGCTTTAATGTAAAAATCATTATACGTCTACATGTATCCTTCAGTCTGGCTATTGCCACAGCCTACATGTAGGCACCACTGTGCAAAATTGCTTCATATATCCTGGCACAAGAATAAGAAATCTACATTTCAGCTAAGAACACACAAAAATTGCCACTGTTGCCATTTATGAAACCATATAAAAGTACTTATCCTGTGTTGCTAGGGAGGTATATTTTCCTTAGCAATGGTTACATACATGTAGTTACATGTACATACATGTACATGTACAAACATTATGGATCTCCATTTTAGACAAATTTCCACTGATAAAAATCTTCTTCACGTTTTACGTACGGTAACGTACTCCATTTTGCTGAGAAAGCAGCCCAGTGCCTCCCTAGCAACAGCCCTAGCAACGGTTTCCCCCACACAAGGCCTGTGGGAATAAAACTTTCAGATACTCATAAATTATCTCCAGATTGGATTGATGGATTTTTATAATTTGAATCTGGGGAAATATTCAGGGAAAGATACAGCAAATCTAATAAATGCAATCTACATGTATAATCTGAATATATGAAAGCTTTTAAAGTAAACTGTCTGTACCAATTTTTACCAAAAATTAAAATTGAATTTTAAAGACTCATAACTTCTCATAGAAATGACATATCGAAACAAAATTGATATTTTGTAATCCTTGGTTTTGGATTCATCAGTCCGTCAAGTTACCTAAAAAAAATATACATATTTGATTATTTGCCACCACTCCCACTTCCCAAGGTCAGATAGCAAGGTCAAACATACCGCACTGCCACTGCTATCATATCAAAATAATACATTGTATATTCCGCGGACACCTTACTTTTCAAAAACCATAATAAAAAATTGCCACCTCGGGGGGTACCCACACCAGGGCTGGAAATACTGAGTGTACAGTGTATGTGCATCTTAGTGCACCCAAAATTGAAGTTGTGCACCTCATTTTTTTCTGTGGGTGCACCCAAATATTTTTGTAGGAATTTTTAACATTAGAAGTGTATAATAGTATACCGGATATTCTTGGTCTCTAAGTTTCAGGAAAAAAATAAAATCTTTGTTGTAGTAATGATTAAGATTTTGAAGTTATCTTTCAATTAGATTCAAGTTCAGAAAAGGAGCAGTAAGATCTGTAATTAGGTTTTGTTTCATATGGTGCACCCCAAAAAATTTTTGTGCGCCTAATTTTTTAGGTTGGGTGCACCAGTGCACCTATTCCCAAACATGAATTTTGAGCCCTGCACAGTATTTGGATATACCCACAGTATACTGTACCCACCTGGTCCATGGACTAACTTCAATTACACTACTTAACTGAAAGGAAAATTGTGTCAAACTTTGAACCACTTCATTTGAGAAACAGGTCTGCCAGAGGGTAAGCCTTTGTCCACGAGGATATATCCATCTGTACATTGTACATGTAGAACCATGCTCACAAAGTGCATTCGTCAAAAATAAAAAGCAAGCGAAAGAGCAGGAAGACCCCATGAGTTAGGCAAAATGTCAACTGTGTTACTGTACTATTATTATTATAATAACAGTAGTATTATTATGCTACATGTAGCATGACTGGGCAATCATTTTAGATCACTAACTATAGATTACAGGGATGGTTGAATCATTTATATTATTATGATTTTTTTATTACGGTCAAGGTCATCACCTACAAACAAGGCTACAGATTACTGTTTTAGGTCCATTAATCTAACAACCTGTAAATCAAAGGCCTTCAATGGAAGATGAGTTAGGCAGAATTGCACAGTACAGCTGCATGAGGGAGGGACACATTCTTATAATTCTAGCTAAGGCCACAGCAAGTAATTTTTATGGATGACATCAGCGCGCGCATTAATTTTCACCTGATTTGGGGGAGGGGGAACAAGAAATTTTGTTGCCTTCTGACAGTGGTCACCATGCCGAAAATGGGCAAAGATGCCTGTTGCCATGCCGGAAGGTGGATGGCAGATAACTATAAAGAGAGGAGACAAGAAAAGGCTCTGATTTTATGTTTTGTTTCTTACTTTGATGCAGTGATATGTGATGCTGGCTGTGTATATGTGATGTTCCCACTGAATCAAAACCATCTGACAGTGTACAATGATTGAGTCAAAATTTTTAAATGTAGAAACCTTGTTTTCTTCGACCCACCTTGTTTTTTTTTCGCCCGCTCGCATTAGATTTGGAGTCTGTCAGTGGAGGATGTCATCCATAAAATTTACTTGCTGTGGCCTAATATCTGCTATTGTAAGGAGACATGTGCAGCATTGATGGTATGGTCTACAGGGCTGGAAATACTGGGTGCATGTGCACCTTACTGCACCCAAATTTGGAGCTGTGCACCCAATTTTTTTTCTGTAGGTGCACCAGTGCACCCAAATATTTTCATAGGTTTATACGTAGCATGTAAAGATAATATGAATGTATACATGTACATGTAGTAGTATCAAAGAGCTTTGAATTCTTTCATCTGAGTGTCAGAAAAATAATAAAATCATTGTTGCAGTACTTTTCTTTAGATATAAAACATAATTAGTTATTGCTGAGACTCTAGTTATTCTATATTATATGGTGCACCCCAAAAAATTTTTGTGCACCCAATTTTTGTAGGTTGGGAGCACCAGTGCACCTATTCCCAAAAATGATTTCGAGTCCTGGTCTAGTTTACTCAGGATTTCTAGTCCAAATTCCTGTACTTGGGCATTTTCACTGAGCCCATATCTAGATATCTGAAAAGCGATCACAAAATTTAAGAATTAGTTGTCATAAATTAAACATAGAAATGGGTCAATACAAGAAAATACCAAATGACCAAAGGTTCTGTCCATTTTATCCAAACATGATTGAAAATGAGCACCATTTTATAATGGATTGTGCACTATACAATGATAAGCCCTATTGCTGTTCACCTTTCTTTCCGCTTGTTCAATTGATTTCAATACGTTAGACCTATATAGATAAATGCAACTACATTCTCAGGGGAGATAACCAATACAGTGTTCAAATAGGAAAATGCATTAAAGAATGTTTTTATCTTAGAGAACACATGTTAGAGAATAGTTAACCTTTATTGTTACAGCATACATATATTCTGTACGTAAGATGACTTTAACCACACATGTATTTAGCTTTGTTAGCTTTTTTGTTGTGTCAATAGATTCTCATGTTATATTTTGTGTTCCTTGACAGATACTGTTTGAGATGGATGACTGACAATCCCATCACACAGACCTGATGTGGACCTGTGCTGTACCTGCATGTGTGTGTCAGAGTGGTAAAGTCAACAGAACAGAAAAGAAGAAAGGAAAGGTCTCCATATCCGTGCCCTTATGCAGAGCCCATATCCATTTCTGTAGCCCTTGGGCGACACACAGTTGTGCAAGGCACTACAGCAGGGGGCTAGTCCGCTGGTAGTGCTGTGTGTTTGACCTTCCCACACACTTTCTCTTGTGCTGAGTACTAAGCAGAGAGAAAGAAGTGTGTACCATTTTTAAAGTCTTTGGTATGACCCGGCCGGGGTTTGAACTCACGACCTCCCGGTTACAAAGCGAGCACTCTACCAATTGAGCTATTGCACTGGTACAGCTACAGATTCTGAACAGCTCAACTGTACTATTACTGGTTATCTGGAACAAGGCTTCCACAGGCATACTGGTTTACTGCAACTGTTACAGACAGTACACATATAGACTGAGCCTGTACAACAAAAACGTACACGTCTGGTGATGCTGATTTTCAGCACAGTTCCTGGATTTAGACGGATGATTGTGACATGATGATGATGGTGTGAATTGGTACAGTGTGGATCACAACAAAAAAGGTTCACCATGTTATCCAAGTTTCCTTCAGTTCTGCTCCTTCTGTACAGTTTTACAACTAACTGTATTGGACAGAAAAATGAAACCCAGTGTACCCAATACAGCAATGCTTATAAAGCTGTGGCATCATGTGTTGGACTGGGGCTGACAGAAGTGCCATCAGACCTCCCCAACAACATCACTGAACTCAACCTCAGTAACAACAGTCTGAGTTACAATTGGACAGGAGACATCCTGAGGTTTAAGAACCTCACCAGACTGTGCTTGTCTCAGAACAATATCTCCTTTATTGAAGTGAACTCCTTGTCAGAAACACCGCTGGTTTATTTGTACCTCCAACATAACATGCTGGAAAATATTCCGGTGGAGGTTTTACACATCTCCAGCCTGAAATATTTAAACCTGGAGAACAACAACATCAAAAATCTGACAGTACCACTTCGACATTACAGAACAACAGTACGGCTTCAGGCACTCATCCTTAGAAATACACAGTTGTCACTGCTACAAGGAGACATCTTTGCTGGTCTGAATCTCCGAAGTCTGGACCTATCTTTCAACAACCTGGAATCACTTCCACACCTGGTTTTTGGCAAAGGAAACATGAAGTTAGAAACCCTTCTACTGGGAGTAAACAGACTGTCCAGCATCCCTAGTTCTCTACAGCAACTCACAGTTCTGACACATCTGGACCTCAGCTACAACAGAATCAAGACGGTAGATGACGCTTCTCTCACAGGTCTGCAAAACCTGAAGTACTTGTACCTTTCAGGCAATGGCATCGTTTCAATGGCAGATAACGCATTTTCACACCTTTGGTTGACTCGTCTGAACCTGTCGTCCAACAATTTAACCACCGTACCAACCTCTCTGACTAGTATGTCATCCATGAAGATGTTGTCACTTGGAGGTAACCCTCTAGGGCAAGTACCGCCTGGCATGCTCCAATCCATGCCTGAACTGCACACACTGGAGCTACAGAAGGTTGGGTTATCCTACCTGCCTTCAGGTGCCTTCTCCAACTCATCGCTCACACACCTCAGTTTGGCCTTTAACCAGCTGCAGGCCCTTCCCATGGACGTGTTCAGTGGCACTGCATTAAAAGTGCTGCAGCTGCAGGGTAACCTGTTCTCCCAGTTTCCCCGCGCTGCAGCCACACTAGAAACACTACAAACTCTCGATCTACGCCACAACAACATAGCCGTGCTCCAACATGTGGATGACTTCTCTAGACTGACCAACCTGACGAGGCTCTTCCTGCACAACATCGGCTTGAGAAGGATTGACAAGGAGGATATTTTCCACGGCATGGAAAGTCTAGAAGAGCTGGACTTGAGTGGTAATGATGTCACAACTCTGCCACCGAATACCTTCCACAGCCTTCCCTCTCTCAGAAGAATTTTGTTAGGACAAAACAGACTGCAGTCCCTTCCCATCAATATATTTAGCAACTTAACAATGTTAAGTTACATAGATCTGTCTCATAATGAGCTAGAGTACCTCTCAGTGCTCTCAGTCACAACAACACCTAAAGAATCAACTCCATCCCAGACTGTACTCTTAGAGAACAACCCGTGGTACTGTGACATGAACCTCTGTCCCCTCATGGACTGGCACAGCAAACTTCACCTCAATGTGTCCACACCTGGTCCCATGTGTGCAACGCCTGCAAACATGACATTTCATCATGCTCTATCCACAGTCTGTGCCAGTGGAACAGACACAACTCTATCCACAGTAACAACTTCTTTGTCTGGAACTGACAATACATCAGTTGTCAGTTATGTGTCAGCATCAGATCAAACATTAACAGTCGTGTTAGTGATTCTGGCTGTGATAGTTCTGTTCGTGCTTGTTGTAGTTGGGGTCATGCGTTACCGTTGGAAGAAAAAGCAAGCGGCATCTCCTGATGTCATGCCTTATTTCAGTCCTGACATTCGGCGTCAGTACCTAGAAGACCTGCAGGCCCTCCTGCCTCGCCCAGACTCCTGCGAACCGGTCTACGACACAATCGACGACCTGCGCTGCCCTACCGCCGCGTCCAGTCACATTTATGCACTGGCAGATGATGACCTGGACACAAGAAGCATTGCAAGTACTGGGACATACCTCTCCTTCCCAGGCTACAACGAGTCCACAACGTACCTGTCTGTGATTGGTGACGAGGATGACTCCAAGAGCATCACAAGTCATGCTACTTATCTGTCCCTCATTGGAGATACTGACAGCGTAGACAGCCAGCCTGTGTACCTGACCCTGACAGCCACAGATGTGGACACAAACTGTGCTGGTATAGACAGCACCATGCTGTGTGATGAAGACACAGCAAGCCTGCCTGGACAGCCAGTCTACAGCTACCCCGTGTGGAGAGGACAGTTTCCCAGAGAAAAGTCTACCCTGAGCTGTGGGTCCATTTCTACAGTCAGCAGAGTCATTCTGGAAGACTTAGAAGACACTTGAACAGAAATAATGTTTTTACTAGTTTTAAGTTTTTACACTGGGTAGTACATGCTGTAACACATTGTAAGGCCACACCAATTTAATTTGTTGCTTCTCGGATCGCCCTGTCCATTTTTTTCTGATTTGCAAAAAAAACAACATTTTTTTGTTCTAAATTAACTGCAAAATGCTCAATCAATGAAAGACATATTTTGGCCCCAATGGTTGAAGAAAGTCCTTTTCTTCCTACTTCTCAAAGTTATTCAATGTAACAATGCAATTTTGTTTCAAGAAAAGTTCAAAATCTATTGTTTTAATTATAAATCATCCTGATACAATGTACACTTCATGGCTCATATTGTAACATTAACGGCTATCAATATCATGGTGTGCCTAATGGCCTGTTTTTTTTTCTTCTTATTTTGCCCTCGCTGTCGCTTCATATTTTTTCTGAAAAAATTTCAAGAAAAGCACAGTCTTGTCAGGATCATCAAATTCTAGATATAGTATGAAGAAAATGTATATATGTATATGTCCCAGGGGAGATTGGAATCCAGGGGGATCTGGAATCCTTCTAGGGGACATAGGGATTCCAATCTACCCTAGGAGAAATTGGAATCCTGATATTCAGATCCCATTTCAGTAGTAGAAATACTAGAACTCATAGATTGAATCATTTCACACCTAAAGTTTCAATAAATTTCAGCATAGGCAAGCCTATTACTATAATTGTAGGTGAATTATTAGATTGGAATCAAGATTTGTCCTGGCATAATTTGCAGTTCTTATTCCATAAAAATTATTGCAATCTTTCCAAACTTAGAAAATGATGTGAAAATAAATTGGCAATATAAAGGAAACAACAGTATACTTACAAACCATGATTTTATTCAGAATTTACAAATCACTAGCAACCTGGAAAAACTGGTTTTGGAGTCACTATCTCACAATGGAAAATATTGAAACTTTAGGTGTGAAATAACTCTATTTTCCCAAGCATTTTGATGCAATCGGAATTTCTCCTTTTAAAATTGGAGATTGTCCTGTAAGAATTCCCACTTGTCCTAGGACAAATTGGAATCCCTATCTCCCCTAGGAGAATCTGGAATCCTCCTAGGAGAGATTGGAATTCAGATCCCAGTTTTGTACAAAAAACTTTAATTCCAGTCTCCCCTAGGAGGATTCCGGATCCCCCTGGATTCCAATCTCCCCTGTGACATATATAATATATGTATTATGTATATATAGAGAGGGGGGGAGAGAGAGAGAGAGAGAGAGAGAGAGAGAGAGAGAGAGA